TGAAAGACTTTATAATTAAACTTCGTGCAGCACAGCCTGTGCTCAGCTCCCCTTACAGAGAGTAGTGAGAGCAAAGGTCACGTGACTGCAGCGAGGCAGATTACAGGTCTGCGAGCCTGCGGTTTGCACGACTACAGTTACCTGTCTGCTGATAACGAGGCTCAGCTTACCTGCTGGACGGTATCAGCTCCATCAGACAGCTGCCGGTAATGAAGAGACCCGACGAGCCCGAGCCGACCGCCTGGGACAGCTGACCTGCGGATGACATCACCTGTAATCCTACTGGTACTCCCCGTGAAACCGATCGAGCGCTTCACGGAGAAATCAGGACGAGACGGCGTCTTGTTGTGAGACAAACGTCTTTTCATTCTGCTCGTCCTCATCTCGCTTCTTGCAAAACGTATTACTGATGTCTGCAGACGTCAGAAGCATCATGGGAGCTCCTCCTCCTGCAGAGCCGGCCCCGCTGCTGGCTTCCTCCACCCTCGCAGACCCTCCTGTGACGCTCCGCTCTGGAGGAGCTGGACTACCTGTGCAGGTGCAGACCCGACATCAGCGGGCTCACCACCACCTCCAACATCACCAAACATCACCTGGCCCTGAATTACCATCAGCAGCCACCTGACGGTGCACCTTCCTGTGAAGAGCCCACAATAACACAAACCCCACACAGGTGGAGGAGAGACCGAATACATTAATGAGAGAGAGACAGGTGGGAGAGCAGAGGTGGAGAAGGTGGTGGAGTTTAAATACCTGTGAGTCCATCCACAGAGAGGGTGGAGCAGGTGGAGACAGAAGGAGAACAGCAAGAGTAAACGGGACGGTTTAAAGATGGAGGTGATGGAGCTGCAGACTGAAGAGGAGGAAGAGCTCAGGGGAGGTTCATGGATGTAGCGAAGGCCTGCAGGGACAGAGGTGGATGCTGGGAGAGGTGGAGGCGAGGTGGAGGCGGGCTGCGCCCCCAGGAAAAGGAAATTCAATGCTCACAAACAGGAAGCCTGAAGAAGCTTCGTCCCGCTTCACGCCGCGCCTGTTCATCAGACACGAGCTGAAGCGCTGCGTGCAGCAGGTCGGCCTGAGCCAATCAGCCGGGCTCAGGAGGAAGTTTATTCTGGTGACTGCAGCGCTCGCCAGAATAAAAGCTTTTAATTTCACTGAATGCATTAATAACTTTTAATCATTAAAATCCACCAGGGTCCATAAAAGTTCTGCAAACTACCCATGAAGCGTTTGATTACTTCATGATTATCATCGATTAATCGATCAGTGATTCAGTTCATTGATCTTATTCTGAAACATTTATCAGTGATTCACCTTTAAAAGAACAGCAGCTTCACTCATTTCAATTTTGTTATTTTTATTATTTTGCACTTGAACAGATTCAGATCTGAATATCGTTCGATGTGAAGAACAGACAGAGCTCCCACAGGAAC